ACCATCAGTCGGCGTTCCTTTTCTTGGTTCCTTTCCTTCCGACCCCCATCCTTGCTCCTTCCCATCTTCTCTCACTCATGCGAACTTAGATAGGGGGCGATAATAGACTTGGAAACTTGGTCTCTTCCCAACAATCTCAAGCAGTCTTACAGAGGGAGGCACAAGAAGGAAAAAAATCAGGCAATCCTTGCACACAGGCCGGTCATCTCCTCACCGCCCTTTTCCCAAAAGTGGTCTCTCCACTGTTACTTTCGGCAGAGTTTTACCCCGTACCTCAAGCACAGCTCAACCGTCGCGAGAGCGGTATCCAGACTCCAGTGGGGGGAACACCCTCACCTTCTCACCTAGAATACCCCATCCCGTCTTGCCGCTCTTGCACACCTCCGTTGGCACCGGGAATCACCCCACGTACCCCGGTAAGGACAAAAGTCAGTCGTCCGGACATTCACATCCATCGGTCCGATAAGAATCAGCCTTTACCATGTCGTACCGCGAGAGGCTACTAGTCCTTTCCCGGCCACACATGCAGTGGTCTTCCCCCGCCAGCCAACAGGCTAATGCCTCGTCTGAGGAGACGTTTCACATCCTGCCTGGGCAAGGTGCCGAGCCATGCTCGGACCCCGCAGACGAGAATGCCACTAATCAACCGGCGTGACAAACTCCCGTCCGACAGCTCGGTGGCATGACCGTTGCACATGAAACCCGGCGAACCCCGAAGAAATGACGTTTCGCAACCCGCACCAGCCGGTGCAGACCCACCCTTTCCTTCCGAAGTGGCAGGACGCTCAATTCCCCTTTCATGCAATCCACAAGTCCCAAGTGGGACACATATAAAACAAGTGCCTTTCCCTTTGGTGCACCCAGCGCTTCCTACCCATGCCTCACAATTTTCACTCGGGACCGTGTGTGCCACTCCCCTTATTGTCCATGCACAGTGGCTGGTTCCTTCTCGTGAGCGTCTTCAAAGGTGAGCTAGTTTTCCTTGGAGTCTAACAACTCCTTTCATTCCCCTTATCTTCTATTGTCTATCCTTTCATAGGGTGGGATTGTTCCTTCTTGATAACCGTTGTGTTCATGTTGGTTCCTTCAAGCATTTCAAGTGTGTAGTGCATGAGCCCACTGGGCTCGGAAGAAGAAGTGATGAGAGCACCCAGTCGGTCGGATCACTCCGCCGGGGGATTTTCATTGGACCCCGGCCAAAGCCGAAGCCCCAACCGCCTGCCAGGTAGCCGGAGCCCCTCTTTCACACGAAGAGGAGGGGTCGACCTGCGACTTGCTCGAGGCTTCCCCGGACTGGCGAACACCAGCACCGGAGGAAGGGGGGCTAGAGCTACTCCACCGAGGAGTAAGCTAATAAGGTGCAGCATGCATGTTATACCTCCAGGCTTGATCATGTCATGCGCCCAACCGCCCTCAAGTCTGATTCTCTCAAAGGGAAGAGCAAAACACAAGTCCAATATCTTTCTCTTCAATTGTGTTCATGGTCACGCGTCGGACGCCCCCCTCAGAATCGCATGGGTCAATTTAACCCATACCCGACATCTCCACTATTTTTTGTAGGGCCTTACCCTTTTAGACTTTCGAGCCTGAGTCAACCCTTTTTGCGGGTCCCATTTGGCTCGACCCGCCCACGCTCAAGCTTAGGGCGCGGGTCGTTCGTCACAGGGGCACCCCCACCTAGTGCTATGAGATGGATGGGGATGGACCGTTTGTGAGAGGGCTTCGACATTAGGGATGTAGCTCCGCCCTCGCACTAGATGGTAGCTTTACGGTCACTCGCGGCGTTTTCTCGATTCACTTTAGATGTGACTAGCCAATTGCTCCTTCCAATACACAAGGAGTCCAGAAGGGGGCTTATTGAGAATCTCTCTTCTTTTGTGCGTAGGCCAAGTGTCATTCTTGGACCACACACTTTTTCACTAAGCACAACAATCCCTATGGCATCTTCGGGGTGCGGATACGCAGTCCCTCCCCTGGCCCAAATATATTTTTTTTTTCACGCATCTCATTCATAGTTCGTTGCCTTCCCTTAGTCCTTTCGGGCTTCCTTATTGCATGCAAGGAATCAATACACACTTTCATCATGCAAGGCCACACCCCCTTTCCGGTCCCTTGTTCAAAGCATCGTATGCCAAAGTCCGCCCGCGTTAGAGTTTACACTAGGCTCAAGGACCTCCCGTCCATTCCTCTCTCCCTTGTTTGCCCTTGTACCCCTGACCCAGTCATGCTCGAGTTATCCCAAGCTACTCACCTGCACAATCCCACACAAAGACAAAGATCGATACAATCCCCCAATGGGGTCAACATATCGCCCTTTCCGCAAGCCTAAGTTCCTTTCCTTTCCTTGGTTCTTTGGACTTTCCCTTCCCTTCCCACAATCAAGCCATGCCTTTTCCTTAGCCATGCAGTCGGGGAAAATGGTTGAGTCAACTAACCTCGTGCCAAGTTTTCACTCTCCCGCTCTTCTCAAAGAGTTTATCCTCCTAATCTCTTCAAAAGTCACTCTCTTTCCTTTTTGGCGGCACAAGGGACCGACAGCCCTTCCCTTGCCCTCTTTCACCACCAAGTGAGGACCGAGTTCATTTTACCGTTCGTTCCCTGACAATGTAACAAGTGAGGTGGGGAAAGGTTAGTCATATGTCAAGAAGGAAGAGGAGGGGGAGGGAAGAGGAAGGTCAACGCTGTAGGGAGAAAGAAAGAGAGAGAG